TGTGCGTGGCGCGGCTGGCGGCGTCTTTGCGCGCCGCCACCGAGCGAGCGAGGGTGCGGCCCCGGGCTGCCTTGTGGGGCACGACTTAGCTTTTCGCCGCAGCGGCAGCCGCTGCAGACCCTGTGCGGGGAGCAAGAGGCTCGCTGGAGGAGGAGACAAAGATACGAGGGAGGCAGAAAGCCACTCGCCAACATGCAGGCGGCTCAGTCACTAGAGGGGACTCGCCTCCAAACCTGGGCTGGCGATGGAGGAGGAGGGGCGAGGCTTCTGGGGACTAGAAGAGCTAGAACGAGTGAGTGACAGAAGAGCTGGCTATCACCTCGCTGACACAATTTTCTGCCTTCTAGTTGGAGGGTCCTGAATGGGGAGAGGAGGGGCTTCAGTTTTGGCTGAGGAAGCCAGAGCTTAGGTAGGAGCCTGTGCTTCCTCCTCTGCTTTTGCATCCCCTTGCACAGTTACAGGAAAGGTTGCAATGGGCCCTTTTTTTCCCCTTCTGTTTTCTGATTACTAAACAGGGCAACTGTTTAGCCAAGGCTCATTGCTGTCAATAGGGAAAAAGGAAATATTTAAAATTAACTCTACAAATGACTTTTTATTGGGTACCAAGTATTGTGCTAGGCTACTGTGCAGGAGTGAGAAAGGAGACAGTACTCAATACCCAGGGTTGTTCCATTGTCTGATTTCCAGATGAGTGTGCCCTGGACTCCCAGTGCCCAACATTTAGGCAAACAGTAGTAGTCCCTAATCCTTAGTAGCCAGTCTCTCCTGCTCCCCCAAGATTCCCTGTCCCTCTCAGAAGTAGCTTAAGTCGGGCAACAGAAATAGCCCCTTAAGAAAGATTGTGTGTGTGTGTGTGTGTGTGTGTGTGTGTTAAAGAGAGACCGAGACCAAGACAGAAACAGAGAAGAGACAAGACAGAGAAAGAATTACTAGTTTTCGTAATATTCTTATTTCATGACTTTATAAGATTAGCACAAGAAACCAGTTTTAGATCAAACAACTTGCTTTTCTCGCTTCAACAAACACCAAGGTTTTTCTAAGTCTCCTTCCTCCTAACCTCCACCCCAGGCCAAATCAATCTAAATTCTCTTCCCTAGGCTGTCACAGGCTTTCATCTCCCATCCATTGCAGGGCTGACACGCTGATGGATTTTTATCGTTTCCCTCACCTGTGAGACCCCTTCCAGGTGCAACATTCACCACTGGTGGCATCTGGAGACAAGGGATGCTTATCTGGTCAAAGATCACCTCCTTGGAGAGCAGTAAACCCCAGTGTCCCTGGAATGAAGGACTGGTGAGATCCAACCTCTAGGAGTCTCTGGAGGAGCAAGGCACGCAGTGATTTTCAGAGGTCCCTTTGCCGACAGCACACAGCCACATCCCCCTCTTTGTTCCTGGTTCATCTGCTCCCAGGGACCATCTCACTTCTCTGCTGAATGCCCACAGGCCGGAAAGCCATGCTGTTGAGCTCACTCACGCACAGGGCCAGAGTCAGGCTTGCTGCAGCTGGCACCCAGAGCAAACCCAAGCCTGACGGGGATCCACCAGAAACGTCTTTAATATTTGGTGGCCTGTATCAAGCTTGTTGGAAGCCTGCTGACATTCCCCGTGTTTGCAATGATGCATCTTATTGCAGATACATTTAGAAGATTCTGAGCAGTGTTTCACTGCTGTACTATGACAAGGTAGGCTGCATCTAGACACATTGCAAAAATGTAAACCATTGACACCCCAGAGCAGGCAGGCCCTTATGCTATATACTATATTCTCTTATAGTCCATGGCTCGTATTTCTAATATTTTGCAATGTGGTTTGGTTAGTCTGGATTTGAATTATCATTTTTTTTACAGTTTTAAACTAAGACTTTTAGGACCTAGAAATAAATACATATGAATTGTAGGCATGTAAATTGGTGTATTTATTCAGAGGGAAACATGACATTCTTATTGAAAGTATACAATTTGTTTGAGGTACTGTGACAATGATTCTACTCCTCTCAACTCAGGAGTTAACTGAGAACATACAACAAAACCCCTCTGTAGTGATGCTTGCTGGACAGCTGTCCAAGGCAGTGGACAACTGGGAGAGCATGAGAGATGAATAGTGAAATGTTTCATAAGAATATATGATAAAATACTACACTTTGAATTGTTATAGATGAGTATTGTCGTGGATGCCAGGTGTAGGTTTAGTTGAAGGGTTCCAAGATGGCACAGTACATAATGGGGTTCAGAACCTGGATCCCGCAGATCTGGCTTAGAGCCAGGCCTTCCGTATTGTTGACCAATAATGTCTGAAGCTTTAGTTTCTCTGCTGTGTGGTTATCTTGATGCTGTGTTTTAAATAAAAATGATGTTTGGGGAAGCATTCATCACTTACTAATGTCCCTAATACATTCATTTAGGTAAACTTAAAAAAAAATTCTGACTGTGGCTCAGATAACCCTTAGGTGGCTTTCTGGTTTGGTTGGCTCACCCAGTCGTCAACATGACTTGTTGACTGTTGGTGTTACCCATGCTATAAAAAGGATAAATGACAAGGCGTGGAGTTTGTCACCTCTGATATAAACTTAGATTTGTTTTGTAGCAACCGGGAATCAAGTCTAGCTCAGCAAAATTTGGGATTTAATATGAGACTCTGATTGGTTGTTCCCTCTGCTTGTGCTGACATCCAATTTAAAAACGAAACAGGAGAAAGGACGCTTCTTGGAAGCTCTACCTATAACTTAATTAGTGCACCAGAGAACGAGCTTAGCATGAAAGGGTCATGAGGCTCTCTGACCTTCAAATTCACCTTCAAGGCCTTCTGCTCCAGAGCTGGGCCTTTTGTAAAAGCTGTCTGCGTGTACCAGAAATGTTCCAATGATACCCAGGGAAATGGGAAGTGCTGCTGCTTTCTGTCTAACTTCCTCTGGAAATGGAGTGCTTTGTTTTGGTCAGTGTGTTCCAGGAACCTTTGCATGTAGAAGAAATCCCTCCAATTCTGTACCACATTCCCAACTGAAACGTTTCTTTAAAAAGTGCAAAGGCCTACTTCTCAAGGGAGGGGGGTCGCTGAGTTTCTCAAATTCAAACGGTTGGGGTGCCTGAAGCCCTGTTGCTTATGGAATGGAAAATAATCAAAGCATGAAGATGATGCTCCCACAAAACCTTTGATAGAAGTATTTCAAGTAATAGGAAGCCACTGTAAAGCAGCCTAATGTCAGAATTTGGGCAAGGAAGCCTGGGCCCCTCAAGAGCATGCTTGCTGTTGGGCTCAACCTCAAGGACAGGAAGGCTGTGCTGTGCTTAGCCATGCACTCCATGGCTGCTGGGGGCCTGGTGGTGACCTCATCTCCATACACACTGCTCTCCAGGAGCTCTGGGTCTTTCTCATAGCTAGTGGCTTGGTTCACATGGAGAGGGAGGCCCCAGTATAATCAGACCTTCCCCTAATAATGAACACCCAATGATTCATGAATGCAGTGATGCAGGCTCATTCAGTCTTGACAAGACTGCACAAGTTTCAATCCAGAAAGTATCAGCTCATGAACTAAAGAACCACCCAATCATCTGAATAATCTTCCAAGTGAATCAACTCTTTTCCGAGAGTGGGGCTAATTTTATAAAGAATCGGAGAACTAGTTGCTTAATCGCATTTATAATATTATGTGTTGTTTGATTTTTAATAATGATTCATATCATAAAGACTAAATTCCTTGCCCTGGTCTTTAGGGTCTCTATAATTTAACTCTCTCCCTGTGGCCCCATACATACCTCCAGCCTTCCGTCAGTCAGCTCCTGTCCCCATGACTGGCAGGCCAGATCCATGTGCAGAGTACATGCTTGCTACAAACCCATTGAGAAGATGAATACCTGTGGAACCCCTTACCTTTCCCATCTCCAAAATAACAATGTCACTTCTGAGCTACTCCACAGGGAAGCTAATTAATTCTCTGAAACTGGAAAATATTTTGAAGTTCCGCAGTACTTTAAAAGCCCTCAAGAACACTAACATGGGCAATAAAAACCATTATTAGTACTTTCCTGATGTAGAAATGGTGAGTAATTCCCTTTTAATGTGTTTGTTTTGAATATACTCAGGATATTTGCAGATGTAATACATTGTTGGCTCATTTCTCTTAGGGACAGCTTGTGTGGATGGAGTAAGACCTTCTAGGTCTACTGTTTGCTCACTTTTTAGTGTTGAGAACTTCTGTTTACAGTTAACATTGGTTACCAGGAAGGTGACCGGACTCTAGCCTTCTGCAGTTCTGTCTTAGTAGACAGTATGAGTACCTATGGGTGACTTCTCCGGCCATATCCTGTCATCTTGCTACCAACCCGCACAGTCTAATAGAGTTCCTTGTCTGCTTGAATTTTCCGGAAATTTCCTCAGAGTTACCTGTGAGAATTGGGTTGCCGCATAGCAGCCTAATCTACCATATGTGAACACTACATGGAGTATGCATGTTGGCCACCACCTGCAGAATGAATCTTAAGCTGTCACACTGGGCTAACATAAGAGACAGTGGCTCCCTAGGTGGCCTGCAACCCTGGCTGCAGCCGTTGGTGCCATTTACTGCATTTCCCTTGGT